ATGTTCTACATATATGTTTTATTTGGTTTTGTTTCTTTTGCTTTTAAATCTAACTATATCTAGTATTCTCTTATTCCTTACATTTCTTATCTTTTTGTTATTGTACTACTCTCAAATTGGTCCTATTTGAAAATGTCTGATCCTTATAATCTCTTATCTTTGATATGCCTATTATTGATTTCTCTAAAGTGTTCTGACAATGGTTCAGAATCTGCAATAAATCTGTATCTCAAGCCAAACCTGCTGTTATCATTAGTTTTTTGACTAATCTGTATCTTAAGCCAGATCTGCTACTGCTGTTCTTGCAGCTGCCCTAGGTCTTAATATTATACAGTAACTCAATGCTGTATTTAATCTCTAACACAGTGCTTATTTTTATGATAAAGACTAAAACTTGTTGCATTTACAAACAGAACAATTCTGGTTATGCCTAGGAAGTTCTTCTGACTCTAGTAATACTATATTACCATATATTACAAGCTTTTAGCTTATTTAATCATATCTGCAGAACAATTCTGATTATACCCAGAGAGTTACACTGACCCTAGTAATGCTGTACTATCTTGCAGATCTTATCTTATATTAGTTGGTTGATTCCAGTTTTGCTTATCATAGACTTCTATATAGATATGACCAAAATCTAATTTGGTATCTTTACATTGTACAAGAAAGTTATATACCAACCTTCAAGATTTTTTCTTCTATAATTAGATTATTCAGCTATGTTAAAGATGCTTCCAATTTTGGTTAGACCAATTTTTTACTACAGCCCATTCTTGTGTTCACTGTTTCTCTCACTATTTCAGTCTTGGTTACTTTCAAACTACTTTTCTAATCAAATCCTCTTTTTAGATCCCAATTAGAACTTATTTATACAATCTATTGATTATTTTTCTAAGCAAGTACTTTACAAGTTGGATACAAAAATGTTAGTACTGCCTATATTAAAAGATGTAAGAATGTTGATGCTACTCTAGCCTAAAGAACTTATATATACAATCTTTTCATAACTGTAACCTTCTGTAACAACTACTTGTTATGCATAGTGCCTGCACTTTACAATTAGGTCTTCTTTTGAAATTTTTATTTCTATTATTGTACTGCATTTGGATTTAAACTACAAGGCTTTGTATTCAATTACAGGCTCTTTATTAGATTGCAGAAGATAAAATCTTTTAATTTTGCCTCTAGCTAGACTTGAACCATTAACCTTGACTGTAAAGAATATAGAAGCTTAACTGCTAAGCTATGAGACTTTTTTTTTTTTTTTTTTTTTAAAAGCAAGGTCTTGCCTCAGTTTTCTTTATTGAAATTTATATATAAGTATATTACATAGTATAACATCATATATATTCTATCTATGAAAAACTAAAGCTAAGGCTAATTTACCCCTGACCCAAACTTTGCCAAGAGAAGCCAAAGGCCTCACTTAGTCCTGAATTGTTGCTATGAAGTTAGGTGATGCATTGTGGTTTTTGAAGTTCTTTGTTCAGATGCTGATTCTTTTTTCGACTTGCAAACTTTTGTAGTTGATAGGTATGTAGTTATTAGCATTACTGTTGTCTAAGGTTACTGTATTGGGTTAGATTGGTTTACTAGATGTGATGATATTCAAGAGTTGTTGGTTTGGTATATTTTGGTCTCTAGATGTTCTTTGACATCAAGTGATCCAGATTTGTTTGTATATTGCTTTGCTAATTTTATGCAGTATTATTTTGGCTACTGTATGCTTATTTTTTTGTTTATTGTCTTGTTAATTATCTTGCTTTGGTGTAGAGTAATAATGCTCTTAGTAATTGTGTTTTTCTGATTGTTATAAGTGTTCGATGGTATTAATAGTAAAGTAAAGGTTTCCAAAATTTGTGATGTATTGAGGTAATGTTTAGTAAGAATTTTTGTAATTGTGTCTTCAATAATAGAGTTGATGTTGGTATTGTTAGTATGGCATTGTATCCAATGTTCATTGGTTTCAGAGTTGGTTTTGCATCTTTGGCAGTTTGGGTTATTATATTTCTTGGGGTTGTGTTTGTATAGTACTGTTTGGATAGGTAGTTTATTAAGGAAGAATTTAATTTTGAAGGCCTTCAGATTTGAATGAGAGAGATGTGTAAATCTGAAAATAGGTTTGTCATTAAAGTTTATAAAGTTGTAAAAGGTTTTCCAGTCAATTTCTTCACATATTGTATTCCAAGTACTTATTCAATTTTGAGTATGCCACATGGCAATATGGTATGCATTATTAATATGTCAGATAAATCTTCTGAGTACCTGCTCAATGCATGCATTGTGCCAGTTGATAGTAAAGATATCATGTCTTATTGCTGTATAGTTTATGCTAAGGTAATGTATAGTGATATTGGATCTGATTGTGATGTTCAATGTTCTATTGAACTGAAACTGGATTTGCTAGAATCTTTGTTCGATAATTGCTTTTAGTATTAGCCAGCTAGGCTATAGTAAAGTTTTGTAAGTCTGGGTATTATGCCAGGGTGGAGTATTTAAGATGAACTCCACTTTTTGGATAAACTGTATTTGTCAGTGTGTATAGTTATGTTTGTGTTTTCATAAGTACTAAGTGCAATGCATATTAGAGCTATGCATAGTGCTTTGTTGGTACTTAGCCAGCTGTAATTGTTCAGGCAAAACTGAGATTTTGATTTGTTATTTTCCCAAATGACTGATATACTTTCTGTTGTATTTGGTTTATAGGTCATTAACTTAATATCAGTTGATTTCATTTTTGATATGTTTTGGTACAGGTTCCAAAGGTCTTCTGCTGCCTTTTGAGGTAATATTGTATTGGTTATGTCAGTGAAGGTTCATTGATATGATTTGATAAAGGACTTGTTGGCAGGCTTAGTTATAGGTTTTTGATTATCCTTATTATTGAAACATATTGTTGCTAGTTCTTTGGTGTCGTATCTGATATTATATTTGGAGTTTACTTTGATTTGTCCAAGGTATGCTATAGGATAAGTTGAAGTGCACTTTGTTTTTTTGTAGTTGCATTTTGTTAAGATCACATCCAGGACATGGTTGTAGGGTTGTGCTGTTTGGTGTTGTTATTCAGTAGTATATTGTTGCATGCTAATTTGTTATAGAAGATATCTTCTCTATACTTTTGTTTTCATGTTGTAGATCCAGTCTTTCTTGTTAACCTGTTTGGCTTTAAGTGTGTAGAGGCTTGGTGTAAGCAGTATGTAACTCTTATCTTTAATGATTTCATTAGTCTTCTAGGTTATTTGTTTAAACTATTTGGGTTTTCTGCCTCTTTGTATTTTCATTGTGGTCTGTGCAATATGTATCCAGGTAAGTGTTTGTGAATGTGTATAGTTTGTGCATTGTTCTATTGCATAGATTTCTAATTTATTGAGTTTTGTTTTATTTTGTAGGCTGATTTGAGTTGTTGTAGAGTATGGTTTATAGTTGTACCTAAGAAAACTAGAGGTTTGGGCCAGGTATTGGCATGTTTTATTAGGACCTTTGCTTGGTGTAGGCTTTGTAGCATTCTTGCTGTAGTTGAGAAGTGTTCTTTCTGGCTTAAGGTATATAGTGGTCAGTCAATATAGATGTGTTAGTTGCAGCTGCGTTTTGTATTTGTTGTAGTCAGATTTTGAATATAGAGTTATAGAAGTTATGATAATTGAGTTGGTATATTATTTGAGCAATATGTTGTTGGTCCTGTATTTCGTTGACTTTTCGAAAAGCATAGATTTTATGATGGAACATTGTGGAGTTTGAGATAGATGTGGCTATTCCTGCTTTATGATTTGCTATAGTTGTATAGCTGTGTGTGATTTTGTTGCAAATAGTGTCTGGTAGCTTGAAGTTTTGTATGCGATAGGCAATTCTAGTAAGTATTACTGAATTGATTATATAGATGGCTTGTTTTTTAGTGATTTTTGCATATTTGAGTTTTTTAATTGTGTTGATTGCTTCTTCTGTTATAATTTGATGTATAGAGGTATATTTTCTCCTTATTGTGAACCAACATCCCAGAAATCTAAATGCTTCTTTTGTTAAGATACTAGTAATTGATGTATTGTTAAATGTTATGCTGGGTGTTGTTTTGCTTATATTTGTTGTAAGAACTGATTTTGTTGGGTTGATCTGAATATTGGTTAGATTGTAGAATATGGTTGTAGTAGTTATGATTTCAGATAGTTCTTCTTTTGATGTTGCAATCCAAATAGTATCATCCATGTATGCTAATACTAGATAGTTGATTTTGTAGGTAGTGCTATTGTTGTTCAAGTTGTCTTCATTTCATATCTTTTGTGTCTCTTAGTGATCTTGATTAGCAAGGAGTCATAGTATATGCACCATAACAGAGAGGTGATCATCTCTTCTTGGTCTATTTCATCATGAACTAGATATTTTGATGTGTTGTCATAGTTTGTGATTACTAAGTTTACACAGTCTGTAAAGATATTGCTTATTAGATCAATTATGTTCTTTGGTATTTTTATTCTCTGTAGGGCTTTGATAGTAGTGGGATGTGAACAGAGTTATAGGCTTTTGACATGTTCTGTGATAATAGCCATAGTTCTTGTTTAGAAGCATTTGCACTTTCTATAATATGTGTTAAAGTAAATATTGGTATAGCTATAGATGTGTTTGGTAGAGCTACATAGTTGCTATTGTTGAGTATAGGGTATCTAGTAAGAATATTGTTGAGCCTATTAGTAATTATTTTTGTTGTAATTTTTCAAATATGCTCTATAAGAGTTATAGGTCATGTATTATTTAGTTGTTCTGTAAATTTGGATTTTTTGGAGATGAGGTAGATGTTGCTATGCTTCGATGTCTTTGAGATCATATTTAGTATTAGGCATGCATTTAATATTGTGCAAAGTTGTGTTAGGCCTGTACTACTCAAGTGTTTTAGCATTTTATTTGATATGCCATGTGGTCCTGTTACTTTACTAGTTGGTGATTTCTTATAGTAGCTGCTGTTTTAGTATTAAATGATTGAGAGTGAGGGTTATTGTGTGGTGAAGCATTATTTGGTGGTGAAGCATTATTTGATGGTAAAGCATTATTTGGTAGTGAAGTGTTATTGGGTAGTAAAGCATTATTTGGTAGTGAAGCATTATTGGGTGGTGAAGCATTATTGGGTAGTAAAGTGTTATTAAGTGGTGAAGCGTTATTGGGTAGTAAAGCGTTATTGGGTGGTGAAACGTTTTTTGGAGAACTCATTTCCAAAAAAAAAAAAAAATTCCAAAAATGTTTTACCTTCAACTTTGGATATCTAACGTTGGAAATCTTCTGTATTTATATATTTGCAACCTTTTATAAAATTAAAATCTAATACAATATAATGATAAAGTATATAAAGTATGTAAAGTATAATAAATGAAACAAGTATACTTATCTTATTTTTTTGTCATTATATTTTATGACTATATACTGAGATATCTTGCGTATCTAAGATTTTTCACATCATTATATTTCTTTTATATTTTTGTAATTACAAAAGAATATATATGTCAATATAATATGAGAGCTACCAGTAACCTTACATCAATATAATATGAGTGCCGCCAAGGGAAACCAGTAACCTGGGTTTCAATTTAATGATTACCGATTATAATCTTTAACAAGTTGTTAAAGATTATAGCTGGTAATCATTAAATTGAAACCCAGCTTACTGGTTTCCCTTAGTGGCACTTATATTGAAGATAAATTTATATTATTATATGATGCATAATATAAACTAGACTTTTGCACATGTTTTTGCGTCAAGCATGATATAACGCACATGTTAAGTATCTTTGCAGTATACTTTAATAAAATAAAAATTCGATATATATTGATATATATCAATAAGTTTCGTTTAAAAGGTTTAATTGCTTACTATCTTATCCTAATGTTTACAATCAATAGATTGATTTTAGTTATTCCTTTTTATTTTCCAATTGAAATCATTATTATTGCATTTAATTTTTTTTATTTTTTTCTTCCAAAATGCGTTGGCAGTGTGAGCATTGTAATCATAATTTTACAAAATCTTATGCATTAACTCAACATATTTCACAAAGACATCCATATCTTCAAGATTCTATAAATCAAATAGTTAATATTGAACAAGTGGATGATAATATTTGGAATCTTCCAGAATATGATTCTAATTATGAACATTTTATAGATTATAAGATATATCAATATACTTATATATAATTATTTAATAATATTTATTATTATTATTATTATTATTTTACTGTATTGTTTTAAAATAACAACTAGATGTAGTTCAAAATTTTGGCCCAAATTAATCTTAATTCTGGCCAAAATTTTGAACTACACCTAGTTGTTATTTTAAGACAATATGTAAGAGTAAATTCATAATAGTTGTAAAATGATATATATCGATTATATTTTATATAAAGTGAAAATATCTCAATATCATCTTAATCTAAATTAAGTTCAGATGAGCATTTTTTTATAAAAATAGAATGCCTTGAAACAGATACTATGTCTTTTTTGATAAATAATGAAAATAATTCTAAAGACTATAGAGATGCATTGTTTGATATTATCAATGAATTGCAGTATCCAGAAACCAAGTCTGATGAAGGTGATCCTAAAGACTATAAAAGAGCTTCGTTTGATGATGCTTTTTATGACTTGCATCATCCACCAAGAATTGAATGGCCTAACGATGCCTATCAAGAGTTTATAAAGATAATTAATAAGTATCATTTATCAAATTCAGCTGGCGATGCTTTTATAAATTTTTTCACAAATTCTCCAATTTGGATATTTCACTACTTCTACCAACAACCAAAGCCGAAAAGAAATTTCTTGATGATTCTATTGTTTCCTATATGATGTTTAAAGAAGTTATTGTTAAAATGTTTGAAAATGTTAGATATACATTTTTCTATCAATCATTAATAAAGACTATCAAGTCTTTATTAATGATTGATAGTATTAACCAGTTACTGGTTCTTCAATATAAAGATAAAATAGAAGTAAGAAGAAATATAGAATATTGAGTTTTCAAGAAACAATTCTATGATAATTGGTAAAAGTGAGAAGAATTGGCATTACTTTTTGGGCAATATATATTATTATTTATTCTTTATTCAGATGCTACAACCCTAGACCATATGAGAAAGTCTTCAAGACATCCTATATTTTTGTTTCTTGGCAACATCCCAAATCATTAGAGAAACAAACAAGAATCTAAGTCATTAGTCAGATATCTTTCAATCTTGAAAGCCAAGGATTCTAAAATGAAGCAATCTGATGACTTTCACAAACTACAAAAAAAAGTTTTTCAGGAATGTATGTCAATCCTTCTCAAGCCTATTAATGAAGGACTGAAGCTTCATTTCATTATACATGGAAATATAATCACCTTCATCTCACAAATATCAACCATTATTGCTGACTTAGCTGAAGTGCACAAGTTTGCAAATGTTTACTAACCATCTTCCTCCAGAAAACCATACCCAAAATGCTTGGTATTAAGAGATAAGTTAAATGATATAAATTTAACAAGTATAATCCCAAGAACTCCAAATATTATGAGGCAAGTGATATATAGCAGCAATAATCCTGATTATTCAATTCATCCTGAAACAAATGCATTTTGGGGCTTAAGGTAAGAAACTATTAAGTGTTTTATTTACTATAAATTATCAAAATAGCAGGTATGGGTATTATTTTGAATTTTATCTAAATTAAGCTTAATTGGGCAAAATTCGAAATAACACCTATACCTGCTATTTTGATAATTTTGTTAATAAAAATGTAATTTATGACTAATAAGAAT